TAGACTTTGGACAACTAAAGCGGGCAGGATTAATAGAAGAGGATTGGCATTAGAGCTGAGGCTTCTACTCGAGACACTAAAATTCCGGTGTGGCGAGAGTTACATAAGGCCCTGTACTTAAACCTTTGCCCAAAATATACATCCGATTCACCATAAGCAGCGCAGACAGGCAAGAGCCAGAGCTTTACTTGTTGAGTACGGCGAGTACAAAGCGGCAGTCTATACAGATGTCGTGGAATATAAGAACAAAGACGCTTTTGGGATTGTGGTTGCATTGGGAGGCCGTGTTGACCAGCTCATACCCAGTCGTCCAGTTAAGGTTCGTGGAGTGGGCCACACAGGTCGCCGCTAACCTTGGGTTGATGGCCATCTAACACGGAATCGTCCGCAGTTGCTTTCTGATGAAATAAAGTTTTACAATCCATCCATCACTTCTTTTCCCTTCTGCTGCCCTCGGTGACTCAGAGGCATATTCGGAGAAGTGCTTCTCTAAGTTGTGATGCGTACTGACATCGGTGCGATGGTTGTGTTTACTTCAAGCTTTCGTATACCAGCTTGCGTGCAGTCTCGCCACGTATTAACTTTCTCCCTCCCTTTTTTTGCAAAACTGTCTCCCCCTGCATACACACATAGGTGCCTTTGCCTGAAACTCTATGGCAGTGGTCTAGGTCAGAGCAGTACACATTCATACACGATAAACTGTGTTGTGTGAACTGTGTGTGTGATGAACTGTTGTACATGAGGAACTGTACAAAGAGAGATGGGATAGATTTTTGAAAGCACTGGTTCTGGTAGCGAGCCGAAGCAGGCGATCCCACAAAACCAAGGCAGCACCTCCCCGAGTTCCCACGCGATGATTCACTAAGTCATCATTCTAGCATTAACGCATTTAAGCTGATAGAACATGATTCACTTAAACATGTACTCTAACAAAAAAGCAATGAATGCGATAGCAACAAATTGGAAGGTCACACGCATAATGGCAAGCAGATTGAAACGTGTCCCGTGTTTCTCATGCACAAATAACGCACGAAACATACTCACAGGTACAGATGAACGGGAATAAGAGTTTCAGTTGTTACTGCGCCCTGTCTGAAAAGCGCGCCCTTTTCGCAAACGAAGGCTGTACAATGGTTGCAGTGACTTTTGTGTGCCCCATAACTACAACAGAATCGTTCTGATGAAACTCAAAGGCTAGCCAAGACGTACAATTTTCCCCAGTACGAGATAAGGGCGCACGATCAAGCGTACACCCCCTTATTCTCTGCGCCGGCCAAAGCATGCGTGAAAGATGAGAGCCACTGTGCGCTCACTGCGCCACCTTGCTCATGATGCTGAAAACACTATAGTCCCCCCTCAAGATGCCCGCCAACAGCGGTAAGTGGTAGATATAAATAGCTTGCCATTTGAACATCCAAGGAGGTACCTCACGGTGGCTCAGTGGTTAACGCCTCGCATTCACGACGCCGAGGTCCCACGTTTGAGTCCGCGTGCCGGAGTCTTTTTTTCTGGATTTTTTTTTCTTTCTTGCGTTTTCATATATATGTAGATACATATAGATACACAGTGCATGACATCGACGGCGAAATCCAGCCGAGAGTTTCCCTATAATTGCTATCACAATAAAAGGCCTGCTTATTCACTTAATACTAACCATTTACTTGTCACAAAAAGCACTAACCTCCTATCAAATGAAGGTAGTGAAATTCTGATTAGTGAAACTTCCTAGTTTGAAAAGTAGTTAATGAGTAGTGCTGACTCGAATAATTAATGCATTACTGAATCTTAAGTTAATGGGCGCTTATATGTCTATTTACATGGCCACATTTAGATAAATCAATTACAGAAGTATATATAGAATAAAAAGTCAAGTGCAGTTGTCCATGTAGACTAGTTAGTGATCACTAATTACTTCATGCAATTAGCATAACACTTACGTATCACAGCAACATACACAGAGGCATGAACGAATCACAGACGAGGTCATGCGCGCTGACGTGCAGAGAAAATATCAAGACTTAGCCAGTATTGTATACTGCACATAGTAGCAGTTAGAAGGCTATTTATGATCCTACTTTAGAGTAGCACACTGTGTACTGGTTAGCAGCCATAGAATTAAGAAAAATAATGGATGTTTGCTACACATCGTCTGCCCTTCTATATATGTGTGCCATCACAAGAGGAAATTTTTATTCAAATGTAATCAACAAAATTAAATTGGTCTAAATTTTTCTTTTCTTCTAAATAGTGTCAAGATTACTGCACTATATACAGTGGTGTTTACAAGACACCTGGCAACGTATGTGGCTTAGTAGTTACCTAGTTAAAAAGACGAACAAAGCATTCCTGGTTAGTGAGGGCAAAAGTGTCGAGCTTTACTATCTGCTGGCTATAGTAAATAGATGCCGCGAAAGTAGTAAAGTACGCTCAAAACAAGTGAATGCATGCGTTGCCAACTGTTTACTATATTTTTTTAAGGATTGTGCTGACCATGCAAATAGCATAGGTAGCGGAAGAACTGTCCCTATGGGAACTAGTAGTGGGGTTATACCGTCGAGATAAGTTGCCAAGCTACTATCCTTCGATAGCGACGACCTGTATATTGAAGTTTTGCAGTTCTTATCTATTGGGTTATATCAGCTTAATGTTGTTACAATCATTCTTAGCTCGATAAAGCTATCAAGATATGCCTTTCCTATGTTGAGGAATTGTAGGAATGGGCTAAGTTTTTTCATTCCGAGAAATTAAAAAGAATAGAATTACGGCAAGTTGCGATTCCCCGGAATGGAATTCAAATGGAAGTGCCCTTTCGGCAACACTGATGCACGTTGCTAATAATCAACAATTCGCACGTCCCATATGGCTGTTCAGTGCTGCCCCCAGTTGTATTACTCAACTTGTCACAGCTGCATGACACAAATGGGAGTCGGACCAAGTCCACCGCTGCTGTGGAAAGCACGCATTCACGACACTAGAAAAACCTTTCTAGTTACTCTATCTGCAGCCCGCCGTGTGCAACTATCGCCACCTAGCGTGTGCAGCTCTCGACCACGTCAGCACACAGAACTGTGTCTTTTCGAATGATAAACGAGACTGCACTGTCGCCAAACACCAAACTCTTAAAGCGTGCGCCACAGCCATGCTCTCACGACCAGACGTCGAGAAGTATAGACTACGGAAACAAACATGTAAAAACAAAAATAATGGCTATGACGTCATCATCACTTGTTTTAATGACTGCAGCGTGGTGACGTGAGGGAAGCAGGTGGTCCCCAAAGGGTCCTCTTCGAGGGTGGCAATGGCACGATGGAGCCTAGCGCTCACGCAAATTTCAAAATTAAATTATATTACTTTCCAAGCTATTTTTGATGTTGATATTTTGCAGATAATAAACGAATGTTCACGGGAATCGACTCAGCAAGCTATGTCAGCCGTGAAACTTTGTGTACCACTTCAAATCAGAAGTAATACAAATCTTGCACTCGTTAGAATCGTACTGAACCATATTCACTAATGCAGTGTTGTGTCACCAATCGTGACCAAAACAACCAATGCGGTGACGTCGGACGTATGTCCTAGCTACTGTGCTATCATTCTTTTTTTCTGCAATGAGGTTTTATTGGGTGAGTTGCTCCTTACTGAAACATGCAATGCTGTAAGGCAAAACTTGATCAGAAAGAACAAGGGGCTGACTTTCTTTCCGCCCATTTACTTTCAAGTTTCGTTCTACAGTATCATGTTCTTCTTTTGCACCACGGTAATACTAGAACACAACTGGAAGATTATTGGGCAGCCATCTATTCCTTGAAAATGTTACCTGAAGCAGGTCAGCATAAGATGATATAAGAAAAAGAAGAGGAGCCGAAGCATTTGTGATGGTTTTTGATAGACGTGAAGAACGAGAACATGCTGCTGACTCTCTGAAATGGAGCACCTTTTGCATAAAAAAACCACTTGCTGTACGAGTCTAGTTGTTATCCTTATGCTTATCCAACAAAGGACGGAACTGACAAACCACAAACATGGTGTTAGTTTTGTCGCAAAACGTTGCCATATCATTCATTCGCTGTGAATGATACGTTTTGTACAAGCTAATCCAAGCTCACATGGAATGTTATAATCTATAAGAGTCAAATGACAATTTTACCCCTAATGGGATTTTGGTGACAGAAGCACACTGCCAAAAAACAGTTGGCACAGGCCCGACCATATTGTCAGTAGCAAACTGCATTTTTCTCAGTTTCAGTTAGATTGAGCTTGTTTTTTTTAGCAAAAAAAAAAAATTGGCCGGGTATCTGCATGTTTCGCTGTAAATGTCGTCAAAAGACTAAAGTCTTGCATGTGGAGAGAGTGAACAAAATGTTTATTTGATGTTTTGCGCGAGAAAATCGGTGAATTGTATTCTGGAAGTGCTGGGTTAGAGAGTCTCGATCCGTGCAGCAAAGACGAATGAGCACATCGAGGCACATTAGACACGAGCGCCATCTGGCAGTTAACTTCGAAAACGAAGGGAGGCATGCGCGCCCGCGAAGAAAGATGCATGCCTGTCTCGGAGGCGATAAGATGTAGAACGCAAAGCGACGGCAGGTGCCACCACCGTGTGTCGTCTTAGCAAAGCGTTGGAAACACTTGCCTTTTTGAGCATTGCGTTGCACTGTCAGCGCAGCATGATAAATGCTACAGTCCTTAGAACTACTTGTGTGTGACTTCTCTAGTATGAAGGCACACATACAAAACGTCGAAGTGTTGTTGTGGTGCCTAAGATATGTGCAATAATTGCTTTTTAATTGACAATCGCACAATTATGAAAGCTGAAACTTGAGCAATATTGGTGGGCGCTGTAGATGGGGTTGGCCGTTTGACGTAACGTTTGGTGCCGTTAGGGGGACCGTCACTGCGGACAGACAAATGTACAAACAGCCAGACACACCAAATTCTGGCATCAAAAAAAAAAAAAAGCCACAATTGTTTTTTTGCAAGAAAATACCAAGAGACAAATGCAGTGATGTAAATGCACAATTTTTTTTTACATCTTTTATATTCAAAATACAACAGTTCTGTCATCAGACAAGCAAGCACAAAAAGATCTTGCACTATTCATAAAACAGGTGATAAACAACAGTCCAACTTGCAAGGGTGCGTGGGACGTGTAGCTTGTTTGCACAGCACATAGTTTCACGTCACATTCAAGCATTCCCCCCCCTTTTTTTTCATCTCTTCAACCACAAAACGACAATGTGTAAAGAACCATTTTCTTAATGAATGTCTTTAAGGTCACATAAAGGATAGTACAACAGGGGCTAGTCTTTCGCTCGATTAAAGGTGGTTGAGATGCCCTTTGGTCATCTTTCTGAACATGCACTGGTGCACTTTAGCCAAGATTTCAGCAAGACCAAAAATTGCACGAGGCTAAATGAAGGTATTCAAAGTAATCTCCGCACATTTTCATACACATATGAAACTGTTCTGATGCAGTCACATACAAGTGACATACACCACTGACTGTCCAAATAAATTTTCTTTGTTGGCTCTAATCTGTAAATTATTAACGTTTTGATAGTTGCATCTTGTTTTGCAACTTTAGCCCAAAGGTTCGAACAAACCGCACAAATCACAACTTAACATATGTTAAACTAGACTAGAGTGATTGCTAGTGTCTGCTGCAGTGACGTGAAAGAAAACACGTTTCAAATCTAGCAACTTTGGTAATACAAATGAATTGCTGTGCAACTGTCACAACTTTTAGCGACGTACTTGGCAGGAAGTTTTGGCACGAAAGAAAATTGCATGCAGTCGCACTAGAGAAAGGCAGAGACATTGTTAACGTATTTAGCCTACTGTTGCATTAGTGATGTTTCTAAGTCTTCTAGCTCCATGGACAAGTGAAATTTTCAGTTTAGTATTAGCTTGTGTGCCTTAAAAACTATGGAGCAGCCACGACGTGCGACAGAGCTGTGTCAAGATAGCTTCGCGACTCATGGGCAACATTTTCGTTTTTAACAGCACAGATGCCTGCGCTTGCAGAAATAATCTATGGTGTGTGGTGAAAACATCTTGCTGAGCTGTGCTTTGTGCTTGCCATGCAATAATAACTCGCCCGATATTTGCTCTCTACATTATCTTTTCCGTCTTTGCGTACCGAAAATGTATGCCCAATGCACACTGTCATGCTGCGCCAATTTGTCTGGCATGAGATGCGATAGCTCGAGTGGGTGAGAGGTAGAAGAGAAAGGCATAAAGAAAACAAGAAATAGAGGAAAGAGAAACCAGGGAGGCTGCCCACAGCAGGGAGGAAAGGGGGCGAGGGTGAGAAGGAGGGGAACGCCACTAGCCCTACCGTTTCTTCAGTCTTCACAGCATATAAGGCAGCTCTTCCATTTTTATGCCTTCATTTTTACAAGTGCACATGAGATTCTTAACAACGTACATCTCTATATAAGATAGTAACTTAAAGCTGCTCGCTCATGTAAGTGTGCAAGTGTTTTCAAGCAGCTACGTAAAGCTCTTTGTCCCTCCTTCGGCTTTCATTGGTAACTTTAAAAAGAAGGATGATGACTTTATTTCAAATTCAAGGATTTCCTGGACTGCTACATACATAGCTCTTTCACAATCAAACCTTTCAAATTTTGTGCCGGTTAGCAACAGCTGTGTTTTTTTTAAACAATGTGTCATGAAAACTAACACTCATTCAACAGGTGCAAGTAGAACAATACATAAAACGAGTAATGATTTGTTCTTCGGCACAACACCACAGCTGTCTGCTCCGCAGCTTGGATTTGGAAGACTTTATACAATGTTGCCACGGCCTCTTAAAGTGCTTGTGTCACTTTAGGCCACGCATTACTGAATGGCTCGCTTGTAGTTCTACTTCTTAAGTGTCCATGTCAAAGAATGGGCTGAGTGACCAAAAACATGAACCCAAGCACATTACTCATTCAGACGTCAAATAAAAAAATCGCCACTACATTTCTATGAACACATGTTTACGTTAAGGCTCCCACATGATATGTGCTTCTTACATCCACACAAAAGCGATGTGACCACACCTTGAAACACTAGTGAACAATTGTTTTTACTTGAAACACTCCATCTGAAGGGTCGCGGAGAACGAGCTAGTGATTTAGCATGAGACTTTCACACAAGTAAGCGCTTTGAAGCATTGTCAAAAATACAAGCGCTACTGCACTGCTCAATTCACTAGCGTCCGGAAAACAAGAAAAGTCGCATCAACATAAAAAATTACTTAATTCAAGCGAGTTGCAAGAAAACACGCTCCTTCACAGCTAGTCAGATGAGAGTAAACTACGTACGATGAACGCTGATCAACATCCTCGCATTGCAGTCGCTCTATAAACGTTACATTAATAATGCGAAAAAATGCACTGTAATGTAGCTGCTCGTGCTGAAATGCAAACTATGCTGCATTACTGCACATAGTGTGCAATAATCCGCGATTCCGCATCGTTTTTTTTTTTTTGTGAAAATGTTAACATTCGTAGCGGCACAGAAAATCAAGCAACATCCCTTAGTTCGATCGCTACATCTATACCAGGTACGAGAAATCTCTTGCGACAGGTACAGCTAGCATTAACGACAAAATTAACTCCCACGTACATAGTTGTGGGAGTTCCTCAAAAGTAAACAGCTTAAAAATTAACAGAAATGTTGTGTTTCATGCACATATAACCAGGAAAGTATTTCTTTATCAGCAACTTAAACAAATGAGTGCATTGATTTATGTCCTAGAGTACACAATGACAATTTGTGGGCAGCATTTTTACAAAATTGCGTGAAGCTTGTGAATGTTGCATTTTTGTGCCTACAGCCTCATTAAAATTCACTTTTAAGAAGTGGTTACTCATGTAACTGGAGTGCAGATTCAGTCGTATTGATTTTCCACACTGTTCTTGGGTGACGCATTAAGGTGAGGCGCTGCATAACAACGCTCGCTGCACTGAAGCAGCTGGTGTGTGGGTAGAGTCGACTGCAACTGTCGCAAGAGAAACATGACTATTAAAAAATGTTATGCAACAAAGAACAACAAACAATGCAGGTTTATCTATATGCTTCTGCTATAATGACCAAGGCTTCAGTGACAGCTTCTCTTTAAACATGCAAACTTCAAGTTCGTTAGTTGCTTAATTTACTTCAATGAATTTGAATAATCTAAGAGAAGCATTATGAGAGTTGTGGCTGTTTGTATCAATTTTATATGCTAGGGTTGGTCATCTGCACAAAAAAATACGTAAAATGCCGGATCCTTTTTTCTGAAGACCGAGGAAAAGATAGCAGCTTTTTTTTTCCATGCTTACAAGTGAACAACTGGTATGCAAGCGCTACAGCCATTCGCTAAAAAATAACAGGCGTTCACTTTCAGACAGAGTGTAAACAACGATGGGCCACAAGTGGGACGGTGCAGTCTGTTTTTCCGACAGAGGCCGCAAGTGCGGCACAAGATGTCATGGCTACACCAGGCAGATGAGGCTCTTCCCTTCGAGGATTTCGTCCTGCACTTTGTCGCTCGACGTGGAGACCTCAGCTTGGACTGACAGTACCGAACAGACAAATGTGACGAGGGTAGATCCGATGGCCAGGTAGAATGCCCAGCCTGAAAGAGAGAGCATGTGAAACGTCCACACACGCGAGAATAACAGAATACGTTGCGACAAGGTTGCAATATGAATGAAGGTGGCAGTTGGCTTGGGCAAGACTAAGCTTTTCATATAGGCCAACTTGCGCACAGAAAAAATAAAACTCAAACTACAACAATATACACTCTACACTGACAGCGACGAATGAAAGCGGTGGCTGTCGGTAAAACTTATCACTGGTGCAACATGTGTTTTCTGCAGTAGCCATGGTTATCGCTGGTGCTCGCATTATCTCTTGACTGTTCGTGTCCTGCGCACAATCTCAACAAAGAGAGCTCAGACAACCGTGAAGCTTCTAAGGCATTGTGGCATGCCCTGCACCGAGCGTTGCAAACAGTTTTTGCAGATAAAACATGAATACACCAAAAGAAAGCCATAAATCAACGTAGCAATATTAACACACGCAACAAAATAGAACATATTAGTGCACACAATATAATATTTTTGTGCACAGAGATAGTAAATAAAATAAGCTCAGACTTTGTTTCATCTTTTAGAGAAACAGGGGGTGGTGAAAAAAGGCCGCAAAGCTGCTGCACTGTAGCACTGGTATATTTACAAGGTAGAATATGTATAGCACTTTATAGCAACACAAAAAAGCTGGGTCAATGTCTGTCTGAGAGAACTACACTATTGGAACATCTACAGAATAAACAAGAATGATTAAATAACTTCATTAGTATGTCTATAATGGCATAAATATATTAAACTGTGCTACTGGCAAACCAAAGTAAACAAAAAAATGGTGCTAGGTTGTGTTGCCTACTAATGATCACGCGTTGAACGGGAATAAATAGGTGGGCCTATATCTCATCACTTTATGACGTTGAGGGTGTATGAGGCTATGCGCAGCAGCTTGTTAGCCATTTGTGAAACTTCTTTACGGTTTGTTTGCGATGTTCAGAAAGGTAAATCCAGAGTATTATCAAAAGTGGGGAAAACATTCATGACCATTTGTTAAAATGGCCTCTTGCCTTCAGGCTGTGGCTAAAGAACCAAATGATTTGAGATGAGAAAAAAATTAATGAAGTAGGCGTGGGTGCAATGAGACATGTTTCAAGGCAAGTAAAAATACACTTGGCTCAAGTGACTGCTTCTGTGAGAATGAACAGTTGAAATGTAGCAATTTTGGGACTCACTGTCATATGAGACTCACTGATGATCTAGTCTGTGACAGATTTGAAAAACGAGCTAGATGGAATGTGTTTACATGACAGAAAATGAACCTTCACTACGGCTAGGCTCACCTAAAGAGCATCCACCGAGCATAAAAGGCTCCGAGTGAGGCCCGCACACTGTGTGCACTCTCCGAGTGCCCCAGCCAGCTGGGTACAGCAGCAGCCCAAGCAGGAACATCAAACCTGCATTAGCCATCACTCATATGAATACATGGGCACATGCTTTCACACACATACATACATAAATACTATACATGCATATAAGTATGTACATAAACTGACTTGCAATCTTATTAAAACAATATTTAAGGTGTTCATGAACCAGCTTTTATATATAATTGAATAGCCTGTGTCAGAGTTCATTGCTTCACGAATTGGTTGTCACAAAAGATATTTCAAATTTTTCATGTACAAGAGGAGTCACGGGGATTCGCCGCACACTATAATAAATTTCTCTTTTTTTTCGTTCCAACAAGAGAGCTGCAAGCTACACAGGAATGGATAACACAGAAGAGGAAAGCTACGTTAGCATACGACATAAACTCAAGCACGCTTCGTGAAACCTGTTCGTTTATTTCTGGTGCGACTACAGTGCATGCTAGTGTTGTTACTGTGCGATTTTAGCACATTGTGGAATGTGGCACTAGCATGTGGTGGCACTAGCTGTCGACTGATAGCAGCAATCTGCTTTATGAGGTAATGAGAAGACACACACCTTGCCATGGTGGCCACATTATTTCTAAAATTGCAAGTTTTGATTTTATTATAGTAAAATTAAAATCATGGTCTAAAAAATAGAATAAAAAGTGAGCATTGGCCCCAGCAACAGTTCAGAGAGCTCAATTTAACAGTACTGAGCTACTAATAGTAAAAAGGTACGTTGGTGCACTAGTTTTCAAGTGTAGCTCGTAAGTGGGGCTCTAGCATATTTTTAGTATGTCGTTCGGGTTAAATCATCAAGGGAAACTGCTCGCACTTATTTCTGTCACATAGAAATGCAGTGTCTTTCTTTAACTTCGCCCTTCATTTCCGTTCCCCATCATATGTACCTATTAGAAATTGCTTTCCACTGTAACTTGCTTGTAAAGCATGTTTATATTCTAGGGCAAGTTTTAAAATAAGTATCTGCCTAGTTTAGTAATCACATTAATGTTTTGTTGTCAGTAGTTTCCATCAAACTGTTGACATAAAGAAATAGTGGTAGATGATCAGAAATTTCTTATATACTCTGCCTATTGACTAGCATAATAAATACTAGCAGCCTGTCTGAAGGGCTTCTGATTTCAGGGCTGGTTTCAGGAAAAGTTATTTAACTGCCAAGCAAGTTGTGATGCTAGAAGGCTATATCTCAAGCAGGGACACTCTCAAGGGGTGTCCCTGCCTGGCCTTAACACAAGGGGGTTCAGGAGCCCCCTGACCACCCTATCACACTGTTGAACATATATGCGAGTAACATTGACACATGAACACGTTTCTTGTTCTTGAAAATTAAGAGGAACATGCAGCTATTACTGCAGCTTCCTAAACTTTGCAACAATATCACATTTCTGGGTCTGTACTGTTTGAGAAAACATTTGGTAATATTATTCACTTTTCCTGACCGAGAAAGCATAGAAACCTCCCATGCCTATACACGGGCAAGTTGTTGTATGGACATGAAGCAATGATGAGCATGGAGGCTGATGTTAAAACTCCTTTGCGGTCCCACTCAAAGTGAGAATGCAAATAATTTTTGCATCTATAGAAGGCAATTTCAAAAGTAGGCCTATCGCGTGGCAAACAATTGTACCATTTGAGAAAAAAGTTTAGATGCTATTGTCATGACGTTGACGAAGGCAGCAGTGAATGTGTTGAAGATGAAACTCTTAATTAGGACGGTCCTATGCCTGGAAAATGAAAGGACCAAGCACAGGCAATTCAAGGTGTACACTGGCAATGACGAGAACAGCATTGGCCGTCAAGTGAACTGCTCTGCGTCAAGGCGCGTCGGTATTTATACATGCGGCATAGAAGGGTCTAGCATTATCACTAGCTTTTGCGAAAGCTCTTGAAAAAACTAGACTACTTGCATCCTATGTGTAAACATCACAAAATGATCTCAGACAACTGAGAAGTTTCTCAAACATTACAGCGCTGTCTGCACTGAGCATGGATAACAATGTTTTGTGATTGTAACACGAATACATGAAAATGAGACTACCAACGTGCGTAGCAGCATGTCTGATTTTTGAAGCATATTAGATTACAGGAGAAGCGGCACCTGTAGAAAAAGTGCACATAATCATGCGTGTAATGTGCAATGGCATCAGAGTGTGTATTAACCTTGGAAGAGGACTACATAACCATCGGCACACCCGAAAATTATTCAGAGGCCTAGCCACTTTACAGTTGATTCGCATAACAGAAGAGACTTTTAAGAATGTGAAAAATTTACTATAAATATATAACAGTCAAATGATGGAGGCTCTTCATCGTAAATAGAAGTAATCGCTATCTCCTCATATTTCTTGCCATAAAAAGTTTTTAATGAATGAAACACAGTGATCAAGATGCATGATTTTGCTGTAGAAGCTACGTAGTAGACCTTTTTGTCAATCATTAATGGCATTCGAAATTCACTTTAATGGCTGTGTTTACTGTTTGTGATAATGCAGATCAGTTTTATTTTTTTAAAGACACCCACTAAAGGGGTGTGATATTATAGGTGAGATTACAAATAACAGACAGACAGTGAAAAGTGAAAATTTCATTCATACAGCAGATGATCAGTGATGCATTCTTGAATACTAAATAATGAGGCAATTGTGATGATGTCACAGGGCAGGCGGCTCCAGTCTGAAGCTGCTCTGAAGATTAATGAAGTAAAAAACGTAGTATTGGATGGAAGCGATGAGCCCTTTGAAGTGGATGATAGCAGCAGTGAAAAAGGCGGGGTCTAGACCAAACTGACTTGAATTTTTACTAAAAGACAATATGAATAATACTCCCAGAGGTAATTAATCTAGTTAAAGCACCATGCTTTACATTCAGGAATGGTTGCTGGACTCAACTTCATCAGAGTTAACCTTGGTTTTAGCATGTTGCTACTGTGAAACTGAGGAAGTAGTGGCTTTCATCTCAGATGTGCACATACAGTTTCAATTACAAACATGCCTTGGAACCATCAAGCCAGGCAAAAATTATGAATCATCTCTCCGAAGGAAAACGTGATGGGATGCGAAGCAGCAGCAGTGCACACGGCGTGGACCGGGTTGAAATGGGCGTCGACGCAGGTGATGGAAGAATGGTTCGGAGCGAAACTCCGTGCAGCGTTTACTACAGTAAACGTTTGCTTGAAACGCAAAAAACATGGGAGGCGGGTTGGGTGTCACGTAAGTTTCATGGCAGATAAACGCGCCGAAAGAGGGCTTCTGCTTTACGTGCGGCACAGCCTAGTGGATGGTGGAGAGGGTGAAATGAGGAGTGTGTTGAGAGCGGACGGAGGAGCCGGATGCTGTGGGCGCTGCGGCGAGCGTGCTGCATGTGAGCAAGAAAGTGAGGTTGACGTGCACCTGTGAGGGAAGTGTGACATCAATGTGCAGCTGCGGTGTGACCTATTTGGCACCGCTCCAACACCTGCGGCGAGAGGAACGCGTTGCGGCGCGTTTGTACGCACATACGTGCAGCATTGCGCACGTGAGTCAAAGAGCTGCTTTGCATCTACAAAGTATCCGTTTTGTTTGTGAAGCCTATGACGGTCTTACCAGCGACGGCCTGCACAGTGCCCGACACGGTGAAGATGCTCTTCTTCAGCACGCTCTGGACACAGCAGCCGAGCACGGCAGACAGCACTGTCATCGCCATCAGCACGAGGCCAATAGCGAAGAATGCCAGCGAAGCTTTCCACGGGCTGGGGAACTCGTCTGACGGCATTGACAGTGACGTCACAAATGGCGCACAGTTGTCCGTGAATAGCTCGTCGATCTGGTGCAGCTTCACGCACCTATTGTACAGGCCTGCAGATACAAGACACATTAGTCAGCTAACACGTGAGAGCGTAACATTTTCCTGGCAAAATGATAGGGCAAACTATATAGAATCATTTAGAAATCAAGGTTATGTCAGCTCTCAAAACTGCTGCTTTCACTCGTTCGGCAGCATGTGCTCATTTGTTCAGTCACCAACCTATATTACGTGGACTGCAGGAAAGAACAAGCAGAAACATGGGTGTGTTAGCCCAGAAAAGCAGAAAATTAAGTGTGTTAGCCACCCTTCAGTAGCCTTACTGGTGAAAGAAATTTCGCTCATGTCAATTGTTCAATGAATTTGTGATCATTAGTTGTGATATGTGTGCAGTGCAAATGTTTTTTAGGTGACCAGAGTGCATGGATCCAAAGGATATTAAGTGAATGTTTTTGAAAAATAAACCATGCAGTTGTTAGACTGCACCCATTTTTGTGTTCTCTTCTGTGTCCCCTCCCCGTGTTGCGCAAACATTTCAAGATAAATATGTTCCAACTAGGCCGAATCGCAATTTTGCTGCAGGAAAGAACTCTGTATATAGTCCTAGTGTGTGCTTGTAAATTTCAGAATTTACTTACAGCATCATCAATTGCATTGACCTTCCACCAGCATCCATTTTATTAAATACTCTAACAGTTCATCACTAGTGTGGATTGCTAATCAAGGATGTGAATTTGAACCTATCACACCCCCTTAAATATTGGTCATTTTGATAAACTAAGAGACCAGAGCAGGTACCACTAATATCCTTTACAAGGTCTAGGACTGAGTCTGTTTGGATAATTTTGTTAATAAAAACAGTGCAAAAACATTACAATAACTACGAAAGAAGGCGAATAGCTTGAGGAGCTTGTTTCTTTGTTAAACACAACTAGAGAAATGAATACAATTAGGCCAAGGAAAGCATAGTGGACAATACCTGTTTTTTTAATTGCACAATAACTATTTTGACAACAGCTGAATGAAAATTATTGAAAGAAAGCTTGTGGGTTCTTATCTTACCAATAAAAATTGTGATATTTGTCAACGTTCATTCATTTAAATTTATGGTATGTTAAAATCATTATACTGCGACATGACTGTCATTAGAAAAAAAATATATATAATGCCCCCTATTGCCTCGGTTTTGTTAGTAGTAACAGAAAAAGCTGCTCAAGCTATTCTCATTTTTCTCGCTTTCTTAACGAAGACACAATCCCAGTAGACTTGATAGCCTAGATAGCATGAAAAGCTTTATTGGTCAGTTGCCACCTTGTGAAAAATGATGTGCCACAAGGTGCACTCTGGCAAGAAAGTGTTCCACATTGCCACGTTGGCTGTAAGTGATGCTGGCTAACACTTCCAGGCATTAAAAACACATAAATACCCTATGGAATCGCACAAGGAAGCTCCATCTGTTGTAGCCCAAATTTTATAGCATTTGACGTGTTTTGAAGATTGTTGGTTCAAATTGTTGAAAGTTGTGGGACACCAGCAAGTTTCTTCCTACCATGGTTACGCTGCAACTAGTACTCGTTTTCTTGTGCTGCGCAAATATGTTGAAAAAAAAAAAAAACAGACGCAAAGAAAAATCGGGCACGCAGATGCAAAGCTTCTCTGGCCTCCGTTTTCTTTGTAAGACAAGGCCTCCTGAATTTTCAACCAGCAGAGACAGCTGGGCGAGTCGGTGCATATTCGTATTTGAAGTGTTCGGAAGCACGCACACCCAAGCTTCCTTTCCCTTTTGCAGCAGCGCAGCTGCCTAGTTGTGAGGACGCGTCGGTCCCTTCGAGACTGAAACAATGAAGCCTCTTTCGAAGGGCCGTTCACCTTGTGGCCAGCGAGCGGTATCCCCTCTTTCCCGGCTCGCGAAACAGGTTAGTTTCTCTCGGCGAGGAAAGCAACCCTTGTTGGGGAGAGAGAAACCGGGAGGTTGGTCTAAATGAGGGTGCCGACAGCGAGACGCTCTCTGGCACCAGGCACCGGACAGGGATGACAACCTCCAGATTTCCCTGCGAGTTAAGGCGATCACCGACAAAAGGTGTAATCCTACCCTTTGTTATCTTCATAGAGAGGACTGTCCCTCTATGCAGCATTTACTAACGTAGTAAAAAGTGTTGTTTTGTTGACCTAACATGTTGCCTTATTCGCCCGAACCCATCATATCTATGACGACTCAAGCTAGGGGAAGGGGACGTTAATCGTGCACAGTACGACTGTGTGCGGCTGGTACATTAGCTAAGTTTTTGGGCCAGCTGTGCATAGGGCAGACCCCTTCAGAAGAAAGTGCAAAATAAAACCACAACTCAAAGAAACGATGTCTTGAAAAAGAATAACCCTGGTGCATGTTATGGATAAACTGTTCATATTGCTAATGTTCTTTACTGACAAAATGACTATGCATCACTGATAGAAATGATAAAATGACTTTTAGAACAAAGTGTGGCGTTTTAACGGGAAGGAATTTGGAGCAGTTCACCTGCTACCTCAGGCTTTGTAGGATGGTACAACGAACTTTTTGTGCCGAAGTTGGGAGTTTGTATAGGCACCAGAGTAGCTACCATCCTGAGTGAAAATTTTCTTAGCAGCCTATTGGCCTATTAAATGTGCTAAAGCACCCCCGCTCTTTCTTTTTTCGTCTACTTTTCTCCCCACTTTTCTTCCCCCATCTCTTTTCCCCCTCCCCTTATTGAGGGGTAGCAAACCGGATGCTACAATTCTGATTGACTTCCCTGCTTCCTCTCAACCTATTCTCTCTCTCGTTAGTGGAGTGGACTAGCTGTTGGAAGAAAATCTAATTCATGTGATCTTATTACGTAATGAGATCACATGCTTCGTGATGCCAACAGGCAAAAAAAAAAGATTCAAACTCCCTGTAGTGGCTACTGGCGGCGCTGTTAGACACTCCCACATTTATAAGCACATGTATATTCTATAAAGGAGACGGAAATAATGACCGCCGCTGTAACTCAGTGGTAGAGCATCGCATATGTTATTCAAAGGTGCCAGGTTCAGACCCTGTCAACAGCAAGTTATTTTGTTCTTTCTTCACAATAACATTACAATGACTTGGCTTAACATCCCTTATACTTTCTTTGGCCTCATTGTCCGTTAGTTCTCTTTAATATTGTGCCCAACAAAGATAGCTGACTAACCTCTAGTTTACATTTTTCCCGTAAAGATTACTGCGCCGCATAACAACCTTTCCAGAGAAGAAGCACGCTTTACAGGCAACAAAGTTCGTGTTGGGGCAAATTCGAGTGTGGTGAATGCATGCAGAATGCAAAAATGATCCTATGACACGAGCGCTGGACTAATGCGAGTGCTACACAGTTTTTGTGACGTACTAAAAAAAGGAAGTGAGTCGTAAAGTTACGGGAAACAACATTTTAGTTTGAAGCGCACAGCTTTACATAAAAAACACACAAAAAGAACGGTGTTTAGTGTAGGGCTAATGTAGTTCTTGTGTAGGTCTTCACAGGTAGTTCTTGTGTAGGTTCTTGTGTAGGTCTTCTTGTGTAGGTGTAGCAGCTCCAGTTCCCTGAAGCCCGAGGAAGTAGGTAGCAACGGCGATTTTCTCGACCACTGAGTGCTGGCCGAGGTGGTGGCGCCCTCTTTTGAGCAGCGTGGGTATCAGCCGGATTCTTCAGAAGAGTTTCTCGCAATTCTACGCATAGTATGCGACAATTTCCGGTTATTTATGCATTTTATACTATTTTAGCCCTTGCTCATTTTGCACCATTTCTGAGCATTTTTCGAATAGTCTCAGGCCTGCATTGACTGAACTGACTACCGCGTGACCACGCGACATGGGACGGTGGGCGGGCGACAAGCCAGGACCTTGAAATTCTACACAGTTGAAAGTTCCGAAAAACGGAAAGTTTAATGAAATTGATACACGAAATGTCTAAATATGTGATCCCCACATTAAGCAGTTGTGTCATGATGTGAGCTGTGTATGTCAGGGCACAACAAACAGAGCAATTCTATGTAATAATTTATAGCTTAAGTGATTTCTTTTCCAATTCTTTTACAAGAGTTTTGATAAAGTTTTACTCAACAGCTACTGTATTTCATTTCAGAGATTCCTACATGTTGTTCATAAAATTGAGATATCTGTTTTCATTTTTCATTTAAAACTGCAAACACGGTGGCGACGATAGAAATATTTCAACAATGTTCATAAGGGCACCTACAGCCTAAATAAAAAATCGACTAAGCTATCATCTGCGTCGACCGGTCTCGTCCAGGGGTCTGAAAACACGCGGCCTGCTGTAGTTTTGTTAGCAGCCCGCACATGGCTCTCTTTGTCCCCTATGTATTTTGATGTTTTTTTTGAAAATAAGTAGGTTCGTTAGCGACACCAACATGACTGCTCTTGAGCATATGATGATATTTTTTCACAAGGCACTCCTCGGGCTCACCACTTGTTGGTACATAACAATGAAAGAAAACTCGGAATAAGCATCCAGGTTTTAGTGATTTCAGAGATCGGTGTGGGTGACTCACCGGTAACACTGCACCAAAACAACCTCCAAATATGGCTCACATATGAGATATGGAAAATACCTTTCAAGCAAAAAATTTAGCTCACATTGTGTTTAACACTTTGTTTGTTTGATCGAGCCTCACAGCGCTACCACTGGTGCTCGCGTGAGCTCCAGCTCGACTGAACTTGACTATTCGCCTCTTGCGTGTACACTCTCTAGACCGATTGCGAAGCTTAGTAAACATTGCGGCGCTGCTAGCACCGAGTGGTGCTAGCAATTTGTGTGGGTGAGATACGATCACACCCGAATAAAAGGATATGGGTGTGTGAGGCGTACCGATGGAGGGCCTGTAGAGCTGCGGCGGCCTCATCGTGGCTCCGGACAGGCGTCCACGTATGAGCGGCCGCTTTGGCGCCCCGACCAGCCAGGCGGGCGTGATGACGGCCGCCAGCATGGAAAGCGCAGTGGCCACCGTCAGCAGGGTCCACAGCAGGGTACGCGACGTCACGATCACGTGGCCCATGGCACTCCTCGCTCAGACGGCGTCACACCGCCCGCCACAGGCCTGCGACGATACGGATGAGCACACTCTGACGTGATGTAATTTTTCACAAAGCAAACATTGCTCGTTAATGCCGCATCATCATCCTTCATAGAATTGGCCCTCCTAGTACGGAGTGGCAAGTGAGCCATGGCTTACGTAGACTTCTGAATCATATAACAAAACTGTTTAAGCTGGTTGTAAGGCGTCCGTTGACACGAAACCTTTGGTGCGCCGTTGCCATAGCAACCGTCACAGCTGCGCACAACATCACCTAAAAATAGCCCAGCCGCCACTGCGCCGAGGAGCAGTCACTAGTTTCTTAAACAGTAGCTCAGGAACAGCGATTTTAGTTTGCGTGTATTTTATATCAGTCAGTCGCTGTCTTTTCCCGCCGCTTCCTCCGATAAGCACGTTGGATCAAATCACCACAAACGTTGTGATTCCCATGCACAACGATATGGGGATCGATAAGCTTCGCCCTGCAAAGCTTTGCGCAAGTTAGTCCAAACTCCTCGCGCTTTTTTTTGTCTGTTTAGTCAAGCACAACTACGCTTAAACGCTTTAGTTCCGGTTTAGACACGGCGATGGCTATAAGAGCGTGCAGCCGTAGTAACTGTTGTCACCGTCAGAAGTAGGCAAGCTACGAAATGATCGGTGCACGTTTGTCGGAATTCATGGACCTGCGCTCTACCGACAAGCAGTACGGTCTACGATGCACGGCAGTAACGACGCCATTACTGCATCTGCGTCGCGAAGTGAGTGGCCCTTCCATGCGTCGCACGGCGCGCTTTGACATGATGGCAGGCGGAAATTCGAATGTACAGCTGAAAATCGGAATAAACATTCCACCCACTCCTTTTCCCAGAGCAACTGCTCTTCACATCAACAAATGACGCCACACGTTTCGGCTGCAACGAAGACGAAACGCGCAAGGACAGACAGCACGACAAGACGCAGGAAAATGTTGCCAGCAGCCACGAGAAGGGACTCCAAGGAAGCGCAGTTAACAACGAACGTCGCTGCCACGTAAACAGAAAGTAAAAGAAAAAAATCAAGAGGAAAAGAAGGAAGCCGGTTCTTCGACGTACGAACGTAACTCGTACGTCGGCACTTTGCAGAATGCAAAGACAGAGTCTATTTCGACGAAGTTCGCCGATGAAATGGGAGAACGCATGTGCAGTACGCGACGTACCCTTGCACAAACCCTTTGCAGCATCCGATTTGGGAGCTGCTGTCCAAACCAATCACCTTTGATTAAATTCTTGCGACGGAGGCTCTGAACGTCGTTTTGTGGCTTACACTGTTCTTTCACCGGGATTTCCAAATCTAACCCGATGAGGAGTTCTTAGCTGTCATCTGACGCTTTTGTCACTGCACGTCTCGTAGAGCTTGCACGGATCCGCTGAATAGCTTTAGTTTTTATTTCGGGAAATATATGTCACGTTTCTTCTCCGATAAATAATTAGACACTCTCAGCGGACATTTCGCAATTCACTGACGTGTAACAATACTCATTGAAGGCCTGAGCACAGGTACCCTATGCAGCGCGTCAGCACGAGTCATTTTGACGCAATGCCGCGCCCTAACAAAGGGCGCGTGGGTAGCTGCGCGCCCACTCACTCCATAGGGAGATGCCACGGTGCCGCGTCAGAAAGTCACGCGCTGCAACGGGTGCACGTGGTCAGACCTTTAAGCGTATTGGGCAGCGCTATACGTGACGCGTTCTGTGTTTATTTATTTATTTATCATAATACCCACAGCGTCCAAGGGCATTACAGCGGGGGGGGGGGGGGAGGGAATACAAAATTTCAACACTCAATACAGATACTGACAATTCTACAACACTTCTGACTCTATCACTTTTGCAGATGTCGCCGAAATATAGCAACTGTTGGGGGCTTAGCGTCCTGAAACCACGACATTATGAGGGACGTCGTAGAGCAGGTCTCCGGAAATTTTAACGACCTGGGCTTATTTAGGCGCGCACCTAGATCTAAGAGGGCGTGCCTAGAAAATTTCTGCCTCCATAGAATTGTGGCCGGGATTCAAAACCAGAACCTCCGGGTCAGCATAGTCCAACATCATAACCACAAACAAGGCTGGCGAGGCGGGTCACCTAAATATTGTTGTCAATGTGCACTTATTGGATGGTCGAGGAAAGGCGGGCAAGTAATCGCTTCAGGCAATGGACACGCGACGTTCCACGACACGCTAAGCGACACAGCTGCCGAGAGTGATACGCTGAGAATACGCAGGCCGCAGCCGCAGAGAAGCAGCGGTGACTTTCACGTGTCAGCCACGAATTTGGCTTGCTCAGTGGATGTGTCGTTCATGTAGCATTCCTTGAAGAAATACCGAAAGAAAAGTAATATACGAGTGCTATCGAGAAGCTTTAACAACGGCCTCCAGGACTGCGCACACCTGCGCGCCATCTCGGATGCCACGCTTTTAACTGCATCATCGACGAATCGTTCTCTATCGGTGCTAGTAAGTGCCATGCCGCATAAGTTCTCCTCACCACTCACAGATGATGCACCACCCCGCCTCACCTAGAGTTTTAGATGCGAAGCAACGCTTTGACTCACGTGCGTACGCCGGTACGCCTTACGTACATGCATCCGTACGAACGCGCCGCAACTCGTTTCGCTCGCCGGAGGGGTTGGAGCGGTGCCAAGTAGGTCACACAGCAGCTGCGCGTTGAAGTCATGCTCCCCTCGCAGTGCGCGCGCTTGCCGCAGTGCCTGCATCTGCCGACTCGTCCCTTCGCACGCAACACCTGCCGCTACTGCCGCTAAACTACCCACTACGATAAGGGGAACGTGCATCAATCTGGTCTGTGCCAACTACGACGTCGAATGTCTGCAGGAACCTTACGACGTGCACTTCACCTATCACAAGGCCGTGGTAGTCAAGGCGGAACGCGCACCAGCTCCGGTCCAGCACCCGTGTCCACTGTAAAGAAACGATGACTACAAAGTCTTGCCAAACGCTTTAATGAAACTTACACAAAACCCAAACCGCCTCCCATGTCATTGCGTTTCAAGCAAACATTTACTCGAGTAAACGCTACACCAATTTTCACGTCAAACCGTTCTTCCAGCACCCGCGCCAACACCCAATTCAGCCCGGTCAACGACGTGCGCACCGCTACTGCTTCGCATCCTATCAGGGTTCCCTTCGGGGAGATAGTCCGATTTTGTATATGCCACAGTTGCGCATCTGTTTTCCAAACGCCGCTAGCAACCACGCACTGCGGAGAAGCTGAGCTCTGTGCCACCGCCGCAGCGAACCTGTTTAATGAGGGGATTCTTCGGCGGTGGCATTATCCGCTTAAAAGGCGTTACTACCCAAAATTCACCTGTGAAGTCAGCCTTTGTACTTCCGTGACATAGTCCCGAAAAGAGGTGTTCTTTTTTTCATCACCGGTCGTTGGCACGCCAGGCACGCCGATTGCCTGCAAAGCGTGTGCGGCTTCGCCGCATAGCTATTGTTGCTAGCCGGACCTATGCGATACTCTGCTTTCTTTGGCAACATTGTCTGTTAGTCCCCATTAATATTGTCATGTCAATATGGATAAAACGCAACCATTGTCCACATTAACACTGGACGCCGAGCCGAACCGATCAACAGAAGCACGAGCTCATCGTCTACTTTTCTTCTCTGCGCCGTCTTATTTCTCCCAACGGCGCACACACGCAGTGGCTGAATCTCGTACTATGCCCGTGGCAATATTGTATTTAGCAAAAAAAAAAAAGCCCTTATATTTACACTTCTTTCCTTCTGCTCCCGTAGGCAGCATGTACAGTCACTCTATATCTTCGCCAGCAGAGAGCACCTTGTGAGAAAAAACATGTCAGAGATATAAGGCGTGTTTGTTTGCGGAACTTTGCAATTGCCTCGATAGCTCAGTCGGTAAAGTGCCGGGCGCTATTCTTTGCGGGCCAAGGAGTCTGAAATTCACCTCTCGGTTGCGGAACTTTTTCTTAACGTTTTCCTTTCTCATTTGGTAGCGGTTAGGACAAATGAGTGCGACCACTGTGATCACAAATTAACAGTATATATGCTGCGATGGTGTCCTTGTGATGATAGCAAATACAAAAAAATCACAGCATATCTACGGAGTGAATGATGATGAGTGGGACGAAACGTCCGTCAGTCCGTCCGTGCTTCCGTCAATCAGTTCGTTCTTGCTTCCGTCCATCCATCTGTCCAAGCGTCCGTCCGTCCATCCATCTGTCTGTCCGTCCGTTCATCCATCTGTCTGTCCGTTCGTGCATCCGTACGTCCGCGCGTCCGTCTGCTAGTCTGTCTATCCGTGCGTCCGTGCATACATCTAGTGAACACTCCAAGTACCACCATCTCCCATCTAGCATCCCTTATGACATATTGTCACGTTACTCTCGACAAACTTGATAAAAAATGGGCTCGTTTAGTCGACTACTCAAGCAGCAGCTCAGAGAGATCGTCTTTTTTTTCTTTCACACTTCGCTCACACCCAAGCAAACCATGTGGCAATAGTCCCCCCCTTTGAAAGCATCGACTCGATGCTCGTAAATAAAAAAATGAAGGTATACACACGCAGATATAAAGAACCAAAAGAGGGAGAGTGCCAGTATTAGCAGCGCAAATGAGGAAGTTTCGCCAACGCTTCCGCCAAGCGCAAAAAGAAAGGGCATAAAAACACACGAGAACACAAACAGCAGCAGCAACGCAATGTCACGGCATGTCGTAGCACGTGAAACAACAAGGACTACTGTGTGAAGTAGGGCTTCAGCCGAAGGACATGCACGGTTTCGGGCCGAAGCTGTCGACGAGAAGACGCTGCGCCGTCCGGAAATACCTCGTAGGTAAGATCTGTGATTCGTCTAAGAACCTTGTACGGTGCAAAATAACGGCTTAGGAGCTTTTCGGATAAGCCTGGTCGCCGGACAGGGATCCACACCCACACTCGGTCCCCAGGGTGGTAGGTGACATTTCGATGGCGGAGGTTGTAACGTCGCGCGTCTGCATCTTGTTGGTGA